AACAACTTCTTGATATGTGTGATTCCATAGAAAAATTTTTCATCATTCATGAAAATTGTTCAAGAAGGAATACCACCTCTTCTCCTAAATTGTTCCTGACTATGTCACTAGTTTGTAAGCAATTGAAGCTAATTAGTTCTTAACTAAAAACTAAATTATTTGATAAGAATTTGAAAAGTATCGTTCCCCGTAATAAAACTCAACGCGTTCTCACATAAGTGTTACTTGATATATTTACTGTTTGTTACAAACGAAATAGTTGTTTTATTTTTTTAATTCTCTCAGAAGAAGTTACACCAAAGGAAAATAAGTGTGATAGTCTTTCGAACCAACAATTTCATTTCCCGTTATTAATCGTCTTACATTGGCACAGTTACGTCGCGTTTCTTCTCTTGTGAAATCGTTTGTGACAATTCTTAAATCTTCATATTTTGAAAGATTTAATTGATCTAGACAAGGTAGATGTGTTTTGGTTTCATTTAAAAATTGTTCCACATAATAAGTACCTTCCATGTCAATACTAAGAAAACTAAGATGAGGATATACAACGATTTGATGTAATTGAATATTATCAGATAATTTATTCGCATCATCATCACTTCGGAGTCGTTCAATATCGGAAACATGAAGAGATTTTAATAATGGAAAAGCTTGAGCTATTCGTAGAAAGAAATTGTGTTCAAATCGAACTTCATCACGTACCCATAACTCGTTGACATTATTAAATATAATATTTGGAAATTTATTGCCAATAGACACGAGCTTGGCAAACTCGAAAGGAATCGTAAAGACATTATTTATAACGCTCATACCAAGCGAACAAACAATATTTGCCACTTCTTCGTGTCCTGCATTCATGGAATTTCGTTTAATATAATTGCTGGACAAATAATGTACTAAATCATCCTTCTTGTTTTCAGTACTAATAGAAAATTTGAATGACTTAAGTCGTGACATATGTAAAGAAAATTCATTCAGAAGAGAAATTGGATCGATGAATGCATCTTGATAAGAAATACGAATACATAATGTTAATTTTTCCAGATATAACATACGACGAAGAAGAGATACAATTTGACCATCATATACTTCAATTAAACCATAATATATAAATGAGAAACACTTGAGATTAGGTAAAGCATCCTATAAGTAAAAAGTATTTAAATTTTATATTAAATAATAAATACAATAGATTTCAAATCTTGCGAGAGTGATGCTCTTGTTGTTATAGGTGTTAGAAACAAACGTAAAAGGTTACGATGTACACTTTTGTGATAATAGATAAGGAAAAGGAAGAGGATTAAATGTAATTAGAAATCATTATATCAACTTCCCTCAATATCGAAAGGGAATGATGATGAAGAGAACAATCAAGAGTATCGCACATTTTCCTGACAATGATATCCATTGCAGACGAAAACTAATCATTCCCACGGTGACCGTTAGAGAAATAGTTTAACTCTTACGACTGTAATTGTTTTCAGTAATCGATTATATTTGTCGAATCTAATTGCGTTCAAATTTAGGTGTGTGCATTTTTTCTTCAAAAAATACTTCTCACTACGCGGAAAGGAACATCTGCGGAATGTGCACTTTCTCGAAAAATGTGTGAGTTCCATATTTTAGTCCAAACGTCACTTTGGTAATGAGATTTTTCAAGTCTTCTTCTAATTATTCAAACTGAAAACTCTAAAACTTGCATACCAAATTGTGAACAAGTGATAGATCCGTCTTCATTGTATAAACTTGAACAATGAATGTATTCAATTGTTTAAGACGACCATCAAGTAAACAAAGACAATCAGTAAAGGTTCTCACATTAATAGATAAATAAGTAAGAACTGATGAAGAACATGCATTCAACGGTAAATAACAAATAGATAAACATGGATATCCAAACATTGTTCGTGGACCCACACTGAAATGCTCTAATTTTTCAAAATAAGTCAAAATATGTGCATAAACTATCTTTGTATATTCTTTTGATGATCTTTCTTCACCAATAACGTCCATATTCATAAATTCAAGTTTTATTATCTGTTCTTTCAAAATATATCGAAACGATGGATTGTCTAAATTGAAGTACAACAGAATTTTTAATTAGAACGAAAGTTTTTCTACCTGTTAAATTATGTAATAAACTTTTAGGTCGAAAATTACAAATCTTTAATTCATTCAAATTTGGATAATGACTAGCGAGTAGAATGCGTTCCATTGATGCTGAATCAACAATCAGATATTTAATATTAGAAGAAATTTGAGGTAATATATCTATACAAAAACGATCAATAATTGTTGTCTTATCAATAATTGATGCAAAATTGAGAATATTTGAATAAATCTTCTGTCGTGTTATACTGTCAAGTCGTTCATTCTTAATACCAAATAATGAATAAAGAACGTCGATATTGTTGAGTTTACTTAAAATGTGTATTAAGATTTCGTTTGGTAGATCAAGAAGATAAATAACAGATCGATTCATGTTTAATATCGACTACAACACCGGTCAATATAGATGCATTATATATGAATGAATGAATGAATGAATGAATGAATGTCCTCTGTTTACCCTTATGACCTTGGATATCATTGAACAATAGAAGAGAATGAACTCATTTAAACAAAGAGTACATCTATATATACATCCTCCAATCAAATCATTGATGAAGGCTATTCTCTTTTTTCCCATGCATTTTCATATATAGCATGTCATCAGAAGGAGTAAAGCATAGCGAATTAAGCGAGTTATTCTAAAATGCACGGCATATATGATTTTGAAGTGATTCGAACTTTAAAATTAAGCAGAAAATTTTTTTCTCTTGAATTTGATTTTTAGTTTCTTTTCGAAAAAGTGACTATACTGAGAAATAAGCGACACAAACTAACCAATTAGAATGTAATCATGCTAATGATCTGGTAAAGAAATAATCGTTCACATGCACTTGCTGATAGATGAATATAAGCACCAATCTTACCTTATCTTTACTTGTACAACGATGTTGGAACAAAATTCAAGATGGACATCGTCTTGGGACTAGAAACTTATGTGATTAACATAATATTGAAAGAAATATTTTTGTAAGTTGTTGTGTATGAGGTGGTGTAGGTGAGTTCTGTTTATTACGGTAGTATGAACACGAGAACACACGCACAGATAAAACGTAAAGAGAGAAGAGAGAGAACGGTGATAGAGGGCGGAAGGTGAGTGCTAAGAGCGACAAAAAAACACGCGTATATATATGTGTGTACACTGGATAATCCCAACATATGTTAAGCATATGTGAAGGAAAACTCCAACACATGACGTAATGGAATAGTCCATCCAACAATTTTCAACACTTGCTCTTGTACTATTAATATCGAAATTAAAATCTTTATTTTTGTCTAATTATTTACTCACATTCGTACATATCCAAATGAGAGACAAACTAGTTGTCGCAGCTTTGCATGGAATTTTAAGTTGACTCTTTTTGAAGAAAAAGATTAGTTCATATCGATGATAATCAATAACGTTATTGGCAAAATACAGTGACATCCATTCATACTGACCTATTCGTTGTAACTTTGAATTGGCATACCATTGGCTAAATTAAACAATTCAGAATAAAATTAATATTGAATTTAATATAAAGAAAGTTGGGATCGAGTTAATATTTCAAAGTCGCTTCAGCTTAAATGTATCCAAGTTCTTCGTTGTTTAACAAAAGACGGAAAAAGCAACTTTTTCGAANTTTGTCTTACAACCACCTATTTCGATTCCGACAACTGTTCCAGATCAAGCTCAACGAGCTCTATCTGTTCCAGCCCTTAAAAACTGTTCACGTCTCTCTCTTACCACTCAAAATTGCAAAAACCCACAAAAACCGCCAAAATCATCGAAAAACCCGGACGGATTCGCCGTACAACCACCTATCTCGATTTCGACAAGTGTTCCAGATCAAGCTCGACGAGCGCTATCTGTTCCAATCATTCAAACACTAACCATATGTCCCTTCGCTCCCAAAAATCGACAAAAACATGCAAAATCGGCCCAAAAACGCACTTTTTTCGAGACGGATTCGCATTCGGCATCATTTCGAGTGAAGCAACATTGGTTCCAGGTCGAGCTCGACGAGCTCTATCGATTTCACACATCAGGTTTTAGTTTTGAACCATTTATGCCTGAGAAAAACACTAATTATTACGAAACCTGTCAAATATGCATTGACAAAAAAATTGATTCGTTGATTCATCTCAGCCAATGGGATATTTTCATCAATAAAATGTCGGGTCGCGGTAAGATACAGTAGTGGACAAAAGTCTCCACCCACCTATTTCTTTACAAAGAGTGATGATCAAATAAAAACGTTTTTATTATATAGAAGCTAAGAGTCTATCCTGATCACTAATGTAAAATGAAATCACCATCACTTTCAACAACTTCACAGATTCGATTCTTCATACTATCAACAAGTCTTATGGCTAATTCCTGTGGTAGGGCTTTCCATTCTCGCTTTATTGCCGAGACCAAAGATTGATAAGTTGTAAATTTTTTTTTCGCAATTTCATCTTCAAGAGTTGCCAAACGTTGTCAATGGGAGCCAGGTCGGGAGACATTGACGGCCAATCAATTCTTTCGATTCGTTTTTCTTCTCGCCAATTGTTGGCAAGTTTTCACATGTGCTTGGGATCATTGTCTTCTTGCAGTTTCCAGGACGTCGAGTCACGACCAAATTGTTTGTAGGCTGCTGGCAAGAGACCGTGCTTGTAAATGGTACACATGAATCTTGCATCAAGGTTCTGTCGAAAGCAGAGGATACGACCGAAGCCCTTACTTGAGAAACACCCCCAAACATTCACCTTTATTGGATACTTGACAGTACGAACGACTTTCTTTTTTCCTGGTAAATTCCAAACTAGTCCTTTCACCGAATTCAGGCAGATAGTGGTCTCGTCAGAAAATATCACTTCGTTCCAGTCCATATCCTGATGAGTAAGAGCCCATTCTAAACGTCTTTCTTGGTGCTGTTCAGTAAGTAATGGTTTTGAAATTGGCTTATTGTATTTCGCAACAGCTTCATTGAGGCGCCGTCGCACGGTTCTCTCGCTCACATTGACTCGTTCCCGCTTCAACTGGTTTGCAATGTCTTGCGCCGTGGCCAATGTCTGCTGGTCAGCGAGCGAAACGATTCGTTGGTCCTGTTCCTGAGTAGTTGTACGTGAACGGCCTGATCGGGGTGAATCATCTAAATCTTTGGATTCGTGCCATCAATTGAGCCAATATTTTACCGTCGAAGTGCTACAATGAACTGCTTTTGCCACATCCGTATGATTGAGCTGTGGACCCAATGGATGCTTGGATAAAAATACAATTTCATAGCGCTTGTGTAGTGGTAAAGCCATATATGAGAAGTGGCGATAAATAACAATGCAGAAAGAATGAATGACTTTCATGATCAGGGTCTCACATGTGCTCCTTATATATACTAGACCCATCGAAGTTCCGTGAACTTCTAGAAAGTTCTAGGTGGGTGGAGACTTTTGTCCGCTACTGTATATGAACATGATTAGAAAATTGAGAGTCGAAACTACTTTCTCGGAATATATTGAGATCTTTTCTGTTTCAGTTTTCTGGCATTTAGGATATTATCAGAATACCATATGTGTAGGTGAGTGTGATCAAAGTTGAAATATTGTGATAAGAAGAAAAGTCATTGTATTAATATAAATGGTGTTGATAACGCTGTACATCAATTATGTAAAGAATCAAGTAAAGGCAAAGGCAAAGCATTCTTTTTAATCAATGAAAATTTACAATTGTTAATTAAAAACGAAGAATGAAAAATGAACACAGTATCTTCCCAAAATGAAAGCATCGAATCATTTTCGTTGAAAAGTCAATGAACGAATAGTTCCATTCATCAGTTTCTAAATCAAAATAAGTACCTAATTGTTTATTTTGAACATGACAATAAAATCTCATCTGTGTGTTTTTGTCTATTAATTGAATTGTCACCGGCTGATTGAGTACAAATTTGTCAGGTCTTACTGTTGTTGGCTAAAAAGAACAAAGAAATCCAGTCATATTCATGACTTAAATCATGTACCTGATGTAACGGTGAAACTGGTCGTGGTGGAGAACTTCTATCATCGTTGTTGACACACAATTCCTAAATGACGCATAAGGAAAAACTCAGTACAACTGATCGTGCGTATACAACTGCATTTACCTGCTTTAAAAAGACGATTACTATACGTGCCGTATGAAATATATCATTGGTTTCGGATTTTGAAATCGAAGCAGGTTTTGCATATGGAGTGGATGTGAAAGTCGAATTATCTTTCAATTTGACAACCGACAAAGCATTGTATCCATCAATCAATATCGCAGATATTGACGTATACATATATCGGTTTTGTAAATAATCAGGTAACTTCACATGAAAGTTTGTTAGAGTATTCAGTGTTGCATTTGATAGACGACACATTAAAATCGGTGGGCATTTTAGATGTATTTGTTTGAAAACAGGCAGAATCAAGTTTTTTGATTTCTCGTTGCAATTCGAACACTGAAGAATTTCATCAGATGAAGTTAATAGTGGTGTACCATAAATTTCACTGCTGTCAGAATCTTGTTCGTAAATGCAGATGTCTTCAGATGTCGATAATAACAGGTTAGATGAGAAACGGCATTTGTTACAAGCATAATACGTCACACGTGATGAAAGTAAAAGATGATGAAGTTCGGTGAATTGTTCATCATGCTCGATAATTTCGATAGCGTCACGTAAGGTTTTAAACGGTCTGATGGTACGATCGTTCACATTCACCGTGATTGAGCAACATTGGGCAACAGCATATAAAAAGTTAGAAATACATGTACGGATGCGTTCAAGTATAACGATTCGACTAGCAGCAAGTAACTTGAAAAACATTGGCCCATTGCCTATAAGCTTTTGTTAAGGCCTCACACAACATCGTTCTTTGATTTTCGTCAAGGATATCAGTTTCTTCTCTGTACTTGAATCAACATTTGAAGAATATTGTTTGTTAAATTCCTAAAAAAATAACCAACGTTAGGAACTGTATGATCGGTAAGAATTGCAGGTGCAAGCGTAATCGTATAATTTGCAACAGTTCCATCTTTGAAAACTATGCCGTAAATGTAATCTCTTCAACAAAGAGACTTATCGTTTCTACGTTGAAACGATTATACATACATTGACTCACGAGATAAGAGCACTCGAGACGACTCCTAATAAATCACCAGAAAACACCAACTACCAATCTATACTTGTCGTTTAAAGTTAACTTTCCAAGTTTATTTTGAAACGCGAACGTTTCTGATATCATCCACCACTAGCATAATTTTGTAGAAAAGACCGATCAAAATTCTTGATTTCAGCATATAACCATTGCTCACTGTTTATCAAATCAATCAACAGTCAATTTCTTACATTATTTCCATGAACTCATCGTTTGAAAAAGTGCAGCGCTCGAATGAAAACAATCTCAATCTTAACGCTTTTTGTAGCCATCTTCACAAAGTAGAATTCGCTACCGTAATCCGTATAACAAACTTTTTAATCAAGCACAATAAATTTCTATCCACAGACATTATCATAACGTAAATCAAAAGCTTTTCGTATTAATTTTTTTCTATTATCTACTTGAAATCATCACAATCACGAACATTCATATCGGAATAAAAAAACACGTTTACAAATCTTCAATTGTTTGTTTTTATTCTAATTATCGAGGCCAACATTTTTCCTGCTTCGCATTAATCATATTGATCAATTCCTATCATTCCTACAATTCATTTTCAAGAAAATCTCCTCACAACATTTCTTCATCTCATTTTATCGAAAAAAACTGACGAAATTATTTTCTAACGCCAAAGATCAACACCATCGATTCTGAAAATGAATTCAGAAAAAGAAATCAATTTCGAAAAAAGAATCATTTTTTCACACAAAAAAACATTGCATCGATCGATTCTGTGTATTTTCCCTTCATTGATGAATTTTTGTCAAACGAAACAGCCGCCTTTCAAATTTTTCACAGATTGGACCCTATCACTCAACCAATAGAATATTTTGTTTAGATCATTCACATTCTATACATTCAACCAAGTTGACAGACAGCGCCATCTATACCACCAACTTGGTTGAATTTCTTTGTATCAGATAAAATATTGTAGATCAATAAATAACATTTCATTTTTCGAGAAAAACGATTTTTTTTTCAGATAAATACCAGAATAAAAAAAATTGAATGAAGATGACGACATTTTATTGATGAAAATATCCCATTGGTTGAGATGAATCAACGAATCAATTTTTTTGTCAATGCATATTTGACAGGTTTCGTGATAATTAGTGTTTTTCTCAGGCATAAATGGGTCAAAACTAAAAACTGGTGTGTGAAATCGATAGAGCTCGTCGAGCTCGACTTGGAACCAATGTTGCTTCACTCGAAATGATGCCGAATGCGAATCCGTCTCGAAAAAAGTGCGTTTTTGGGCCGATTTTGTATGTTTTTGTCCATTTTCGGAGGCAAAGGGACATATGGTTAGTGTTTGAATGATTGGAACAGATAGAGCTCGTCGAGCTTGATCTGGAACACTTGTCGAAATCGAGATAGGTGGTTGTACGGCGAATCCGTCCGGGTTTTTCGATGATTTTGGCGGTTTTTGTGGGTTTTTGCAATTTTGAGTGGTAAGAGAGATACGTGAACAGTTTTTAAGGGCTGGAACAGATAGAGCTCGTTGAGCTTGATCTGGAACAGTTGTCGGAATCGAAATAGGTGGTTGTAAGACAAATCCGTCCGGGTTTTTCGATGATTTTCGGGTATTTTTAGAGGTTTTTTGTGACTTTGAGGGATAAGAGAAGGATCTATAAAATTTTTAATGATTGGAACAGATAGAGCACGTCGAGGGTGATCTGGAACAGTTGTCAGAATCGAGATAGGTGGTTGTAGGGCGAATCCGCCCGGGTTTTTCTAAAATTTTGATGTTTTTTGGGTGTTTTTTTGCGATTTTTTGGATTTTTGAGGTCGAAGAAGGGACTTTTTCCAAAATTTTATTTTTGGAACAGATAGAGCTCATCGAGTTCTACTTGGAACAGGTGTTAGTTCGGTTGGAACACACACTGGAACGAATCGGTTCAAGGAACTCTCGAATCCTGCCCGAAGGTATCCTACGTTTGATCCGCAAGAGTTTCCAGTTGACCTACAAGAGAGAAAATTTGCTATTTGGATGTGTTTTATGGAAAAGACATAAAATCGTAGGATAGTTTTGAAGGATGATTTCGTGAAGAAGAATATTGAATATTCAAAATGCATATGAGCGAGCATCTCGGTTCTTATGAAGAACATAAGAGCTGAACTCTTGATTCAAGCAGAAAAGGCTAGCGAAACCTTTTAAATAAAATAACAAAACATGGAAATGGTTTTGCATTAGCGTTTGAACTCGTCAGATTTCATCAATAGTAAATGAGTTGCTATGCTATGTGCGAACTAGTTCTCTTCTCTTCTCTTTCTTCTCATATTATTTATCATTTTATTCATCAATGAGTTTTATGATTGTTCTGTTTCAAAAATCATCCTTTTAAACGGTCCTATGATGATATCTTTCTTACTTCTTTCAGATTCAAGGGTTTCAACTGCCATAAGAAGGTTATTCTTTTCCCCTTTTAATTGATGCACTTGACGTTCGATCTCTTGTCGCTGATCCGACGCAAGTTCTTGATTGGCCAACTCCACCTCTTTTTCGCACAGTTGATCATCGATGCCTCTAATTTTTCCATTCGTTTCTCTGATCTAAACACGAGATAATAATATTTGATATAATATTTTTCTGAATCTATTACTTTGTCAGTAATTTTTGCTATTTGAGTATAGATCTCCATTCTAAAAGGAAAATATGTATAACTAAGGTAAATTAAAATGAAAAGCTAAGATATTCGAATAAATAGTACAACACTGTACAGGAGCCCTTTAAGGTTTTAATACAAAGTCATTTACTAAATATTTTCTTGCTTTTGAAGGATATCATAATTCGACATCATTCGAAGAATGAGAGATAAAGTAAACTTTGTGTGTATTAAATAAAGAGCTAAGAATGAAAGAATACAGGAAACGAAGAGAAGAACAGATGTACTCAAAGATATGTATATCTTCATCCTACACATTCTTTTCTGTCTATGGTGTACGTGCAACTTTTTACTTGTCTGGTATTCATTCTTCTTCTGATAACGAATAATACTTTTACATTCCCGAAATGAAATTACAAATAATTTTAAAATAAAATCAAGAAGTATATTTTGATGCAATCTAGTGATATTCATTTCATCATGTATTTTCAATTACCCAATCGACTAATCTTCTGCAGAAAATAATACAATTAATAGAAAAGAACAAGTAGCTGTAGTATTCGATTCTTTAAGAGAGAATTACTCCAATTAGTTACGGGTTAAACCTTAAGGAATTCCCTTCTTCAAGTCAATTTTTTTTATTTTCCCTTTTAGATGTATATTTAGTTATGCTCTCTTTATGCTATAAAACCAGACCATATCCCAAGCTGGGAAGTTCCTGAGAAAAATCAAGTTTAAAAGTGTATTTCGAAAAAAGTGCAAGTGGTTCGAGTAAAGTCCTGTATTTTGTTTTATCGAACTTCACACTATGTTTCTCTAGTGACCAATTATTCTTGAAAAGTGATTATTCAATCATTTCTACGGATTTNTATACAGTTCGAATAATCATACAGCTACATTTGTACAAATAGCTGAACAAACATCAACACAAAATGTCTATTTCAGTATCGTTACAATTGATACATCATCATGCAGTAAGTTTATCAGACCATGCGACGATCGATGAAGTTCTATGATTATTTTAGATAATCTCACGATCGGAAACATTACCATTCGTGATACATTGATATGGAATGGTACACATCAAGAATTTATGTTGTTAAAAGTATCCCCATCGCAAAGATATGCATATGCATTTGCTGATTCGTTTGTTTTGAAATTTGACATTACACAAAATCGTATCGTTGAATTGAAAGCATCACAAAGCTTTTATCCAATTTCAGGAAGGTATCCACATGCAATGGATCTAACAGAAGATTGGGCTCTAATTGCGGCGTATGCTGCTGTACCAGGCAATGCCAATCTAGCTGCACCTATTGTATTTCTTTGCTCATTAAATCCCTTCCAATATCTCGGTTTTGCGAGTCTTGTCGATGGTTTACTTCAAGTTATTTCCTTAGCAAAAACATATAATCTCGCCAATCATATGTCAATATCTGTGAATGAAGAACGACAAATGGCTATTGCTGGTTATCCACTAATTAATCTTGTTTCTTCATTCACTGTGAATGCAACAAGTACAAATATAAGTACTTGGACGGTAAAACGTGTACGTACTGATTTCGGACCACCGACTAGTGGCTTTGGCCAATCTGTTGCTTGGATTGATAACGAAACAGTTGCGATTGATGTTCTATCTATCAATGCTCATTCTTGGTCTAAATCAGAAGTTTGGACATTTGCCGTTGATAGTCCATTCACGATTCCTCAATATGTTTTTCCAAATAATCAACAAACGTTGACAGCGTATGCAACACCACGTTTTTATCAGATTCTTTCATGGTCCATGAATTTGTTTATTCTAACTGATTTGACTGGAATCATTTTCGTTCCATCACAACCACCAGGCTATTTATCAGTATGGGCTGACACTGGTGACATATTTCTGTATATTTTTCGTTCTTCGCCATGTTCTCCTGGTAAATATAAGAAAGAAAGTGGCTTTGGATTATGCCAGGCTTGTCCACCACAAACGAAAAATCCAGCCTATCAACCATGTACACAATGTCTTCCCTGTTCATCNTCAGCGAACGAACAACTTTAGCAATCACTGTGAATGAACAGCCTTTCTTTCTGCAAAATAATCAAAGACCAATCGTTCGAGTTGCTGAACTCTCTTTTCACACGTTGCTGTTCTGTACGTTAATCATTGAATTATTTGCTATGGCTTTTCTTTTGATCAAACTAATTGGTACGCCGCTTCTTCGAGCTATTCTTCGTTGTCGACATCGACGTCGACATAAATCAACTCTAACTGATGTGGAGAGAAACTCAACAGAAAAGCGAAAACAACGAACGTCTACATCAACGATTGAATCCCATAGATTATCTAGCAAACGTCAACAAAGGAAACAAAGACAAAATAGAGGTGGTCTCCATGAAATTCCTTATATAATACCCAGCGTGTCTGATAAAAGTATCCAAAGTGATCATCAACGGAGTGCAGTTTAAGAAAACTCGTTTTTCACTAATGGGGAAAGTGCCTGTTTTATTTATTGACATTCAGCGAATAAAAACTAATGATAATAAACGATCGATCTCCTCATGTTTAATTCTTATTCTGACCTTATACACGTATCGGATTAGGATTAAAAAAAGTTAATTATCAGTATCGAAACGTCTCACATAGTCATAAGGTGAGCAGAAAAGAGCGTGACATTCGTCAATTCCTTTCCTCGCATGGAATCGTCCACTCTGAAACAATAACATATAACATTAAATGCTTCTCCTATATTCTTTATCAGTATATCACAATCACTTTTTGACGCGTATTACGTCCCTTGAAAAATTATGTGTTGCTGCATTTAAACTTTTGTAATCGACATTCAGATTGCGTTTTGTTGTTAAACGCACTTTGACATTTGATAGGAATTGTTCGATATAATCATCATGAGCATCATCAAGAATAAGTTCATTACGACGAGGATATTGAACGAGTGATAAACGTTGATCACCATCGTTTGATTCCGAAACACATTTGTCCTTTTGTAATTGACTATTGATTATAATTAATGTTTCCATCAATAGAAATGATTTAGCAATTCGAAGAATTAATTCATGTTCAAATTGGCTTTCATCAAATAATGAGACTTCAGGAACATTTCTGAAAATTCCATTTAGTAAACTATTTCTAATACCATTGTAATATTTCAAATGATACGAAAGTGAATGAACACGATTTGAAAAATAATCAACTGAAGAAATATTTCTATAATTATGAAACTCTCTAAATGAAAATCGAACATCTTCATTCCAAGAAAAAGAAATCTGATTGTCGAGATATGCAGTTGAGCCTATGTTAAAGATAATATTTTGTTTTATATCATAACCATCAATAAATCTTTTTTCTTTTGATATACTGCAGCGCATCAATCAAGTTCAGCGAGATTTACCATTCGATGTACCTCAAGAGAAAATGTTTTAGACTAGGTAATTTTTTCTGAAATAAAATAAATCTATCATTTCCATGTAGTTTAGATATGAATTGATGTCCATGAATGAGAAATGAAATTAATATTGACAAGAATGTTCGGAGTTGTTCGAAACGTCCATCAAGTAAAGAAAGATAATGGGTAAAAATCTTTACGCTAACACACGATTCTAATCGAATAGAACTGGGAAATGTTGAAGGACAAAGTCGAAATGATAATCGCTGGTATTGAAGTATAGATGGACTGAAATACAAATCTTGCAATTTAGAAATTTTAGTTATAATAAGTGCAAACATATCTACATTCTCATCGTTTGCTACAAATGAATTTCCGCATTGCACAATATCGATAACAACTGATGAAATTCGGTTTTGAAGTACTTAGTATATGAATTAAAGGACATAAGTTTAAAATTGAGAAATATTTGAATTAATTCCAACGTCAGTTTTATCTGTTTATGTATATGGTTAACCCCCGAGGACGAGATAACTGTTACGAAATCTTGAAAAAGTGCATTTATTCATTCAGATATTGAAAAAAAGTCTAGAAGTATTATGGATCACAGTGGAACATACTGATGGCTCCTGTTTCCAAGGGATTAGTTCTCGTAGATAGGGACGCGATTGATAAGGAATCATAGTTTCATTCGATCAGTCCACAAAATACGTTTGATGTCTGTCAAATTTCACTCTTTGCCTTGATCAATATAGTCAACAAATCAATGAACTAATTACGCACGAAAAACACATTTTTAGACAAAGAAGAAAGGTGGAGATAATAGTTTCTTTCACTATTGAACAGTTTAAACGCGACCTATCTCTTGTGAAATGTTCTATATATTCAATCATAAGCCAATTAAGGTTAGGTAGTCGGATATTCGAACACGGAAGAATTAAGCCGTTCTACATAGTCCATGTGCATATGTGCCAAAGTAAAATTTGATAAGATGAGAGGATACAATGACCGAAGATGTGTCTTTATTCGATATAATCGTTGTTCTATGCGTACTGTGGTGTTTAATATTGACAAATCAGGGAATAGTGGAAACAAACGTGAGATTTTCATGAAAAACGAATTTTCAAAGGGACGAAAACTATCCCAGATATGTAAAACACGCACATTTGTAAAGATAACACTTGAAAATCTCGATGTGAGATATTATATACAATCCATTGTAAATGGAAGTGAATAAATATGACATCGTACTGGTGTGTTTGTGTAATAGTCAATACAGCAGTCAATGCAATATCCATTTTCTACAAATGTGCGCCGAGCACCGTCCGCTGACACTTCAGGGTAAACCTGAATTGGCGTCTCATCACTAATAATATCCGATGCAAATTCATGAAGACGCGACACATGACAACAAATTTTATTATTAAGACAGTTATCATTAATAAAAGCAGTTGGCCGACGAATACGTGAGCATAGTATTAACTTTTGTTAATTTGACATGCGACGAAGAACTGCTACAATTTTTCGTAGAGTGTTATAAAAGTATGACCATGTATATATTCATCATCACCTCTATCTACCTAAATGTATACTCAGACAAAATATTCAAAGCGAGAAAATTTTCCATTTCTGTCGAATTGTTTACATTATTCTTGATAGTGATCCTCAAGTAAAGAAGATAATCCAATTGCATGCATAATGTTTCTAGTTGATTAAGACTACCATTGAGATTCTGTACTTTCATAGGTAAATGAACGAAATCTGATAAATAACATCTTGATGGGAACAAACTACGCAGAATCCTTCGTATCTTGTGATTGTCATCGCTAAATGTGTGATTTGATGTTTTAAGAAAGAACAAATAGCGACTTTTCTAGAACAAAATCAGAAATGTTCTAGTAACCTCTTTTTCATGATAGGCAAATCATATAACACACTGGTAAAAGTTTGAGAAGGAACATTGTGTTTAGCACTGTCAAATCGATAATCGCAGTAAATTTGTCATAAGTGCCAACTGTTGAACGTAGTATATCAATGCAATTGAGTTTTTCGAAAATACTAAGTAATAGTTCATCAGGTAAATCAAGAATATGAGTAGTGTTATGGTGTGTATTCATAAACACTGAATGGTATGAAGGAGAGAACATGCATGTAAACATATATATAGAAATACTCCTTTTTTTGGAAAATGCATTGTAAAGGTGTGTACTTGACTGTGGGCGTAGATAACGTTGATCGTCGTGTTATTGATATTGCAACATTGAGCCCATTGATAGTCAGACGTGATCATGTATGAATGAATTTATCATATTTGAAATTCGTTTAAACAAATTCTATCGAATGAAACGAAACAAAAGACTCTTTCAAAGACTTCTGCTAATAGAACACATAAGGCAAGAGTTTCTATTATCATCACTTTCTTGAAGATAGGATTGCGAATGTAAGTAATCTTCATCTCACTTTCTCAACGTAAAATAGAAACAGTTTACGATTTTAAAATAAATTAAACCGAGATTGTGTTTTTTTCATTGATATCCACAGAAATAAGCTAAATATAATATGTGCCTAAGTAATTATAACGTCTAAAACAATGATCATTGACTGGAACTAAACTATTTTTTGGGTGCAGCAATTTGCTCCAGTTTCTATGTCTTTACTTGTTGGTTGTTTTCTTTCTTGATGATCAGGATGCATTGAACCTGTTTCTTACAAACGAATGCGCCATGAAAGTGCTCCTTACGAATCATACGGTGTGTGCTGTGCAAACATAATCTTTCAGCAGATCTTTATACGTGGGATGAACACACGTATCGATAATGACGCCACTTCATTCTCTGCGACTTTTAGCACGTAGATCGGCTAAACCTTATTCACTAATCATGATTTGTACAGAATGTTCATTATAATCAACATGCGAGACCATTGTAACGAATGCCGAAATCTTTCTACTGTGATTTGACGAGAGAGAAAGCAAGGTTTATATCAAGTGCCAGATTCAAATGACGAGACTGAAGAAAATACTCGAAAGAAATTTCAAACGATTGTTTTTGCTGCACAAGCGAATAGTGAAAAGGACGAAAAAGATACTTATTTGATTTTGTGACCAATTAGTTGTGGTGTTTTTCAAAATAAAATCTATACTATTGCTAAACTTTGGCCAGAAGTCTTATCTTATCGGAATCGTTAAGTGACCGATGCAACACTCAACAACGATATACTTGTAATCTTGATACAAATCAACGAATAAAATAAAATCAACAGAAATATTATCCATATTGTCAAACGAAAATATTACATTTTACGTTTGGATAGGCTTTTGTATAAATCTATGAATAATTGAATCAACAAATTGTTTTGCATAAATATAAAAGAAGGGACTAAGTACTAACGTAAATAGCCTAAACGGTTTCTTTAATATAAATACAGTGAAAGTAACTTGAGGAGGCGTGCAATGACACGAACGATCGATTGGCTTAGTTTCGTCGATATAAAACCAACTTTTAATCGGTACTTTTTCTCTCATAAGCAATATGTTCGAGAAATTTCTTCTTCTTTCCGTCGTTCTTTCATCGATTTCATGCCAAATTGTCTATGATACTAGTGATGATAATGCCCATGGTCTACGAATAGCTGGAAATGATCAATTTATTATCTTTGCCATTAATCTCAATTCTGGCTTTTCTCTCGCTCATTCTCCATTTACACCAACTGATCGATGTTCATATTCGAATACAAGTCGAGATTTCTACGTGTATAGTGTAGATATTGTATACAGTTCGAATAATCATACAGCTACATTTGTACAAATAGCTGAACAAACATCAACACAANAGCTGTGTGATTCCGGCGAATACTATCGATGTCTACTAATTTTCTTACCAAATGTTTCACAACATAAGCATAGGAACCATAATATAAGAACGATAAGTAATAATCCTAAAAGAAGACTAATAGATATTCAGGCTATACTGCGTATAGTTTTTGGAAGAGATTACGTGCCATAAGTGGTGAATAAAATACACAGAATAGTCAATATGTAAATTTTCCACAAATTAAAGTCCCTACTATCGAGAAAGTCATACTGATTAACGTTTATGAGTTCGGAATTCATGAAGAATACAGGATACAAAGAAATCTGTTTTACAAAGCGAACATACGACAAAATCCATCTACTAGTGCTCTATTCATAAGGAAGTGAGCAATAGGATTCTACAGAGTTTTATACAGGACACATTGCCACATGTGAAACTTTTCCGGATTTTCCATAAGCTGAAAGTCCACAGAATTGAATCAGTATGCATTTTTCTGTTATGTTTCTATTCTATAGGGAAGAATTAGATAATTTACATACTGCTCATTCAATGTTTATACTGACTATTTATTTTACTGATCTATCAAAGAATTACCGTGCTTATCATTGTGTCGTCCGAGCTTTGAACAATCACGACCAACCCAATAAGATAGCTTTCCGCCTAGAAAAAAGATCAAGCGACACTGTAGAGAACGGATATATACACAAGAACGGTTTGTTTGTTCACTCGCAATCCACTCTAAAACCCTTTCTGCATCATCCTATTATAGAATACTAACTGAAGAAGAAGTAAGGCTAGTTTAAATGAACAAATATCTCTTACTTTAAAGAACAATTATTCTTAAAATTTAGTCACTAAGAAACATCGAAATTCCCTGTCGACTTGCGATAAATTTCTAAATAATTATCATGCATCGATAAGTTTTTTGTCTTTCGAAACTAATGATAGGGTACTTGTCTTTTTTTTCTAGTAGATATTAACATACTGAATCTCGTGGAGAAACTACAAATCTTCGTTTATAGAAGAAAAGCAAGAAATTTTGTCCAGTTTGTTCGTTCATCAAAACTGAAAGCATTGAGAAAAGACACGTATTGTTCTTCACTAAGTTGAAATAAACTCATATAGTGTATTGACAGTAGATAATTACTGTTTCATAATATAATGAATTATATATAACTAGACTCTTCAATATCATATGAATTGCAATGGGTTAAAACAAATTGTACTATGACAACCTGCTCATGTCAGGCGATTATTTGGACTAAGGTAGAAAAGCTTAATCTACATTGTTTATAATGAAAAGTAGTGCAAGTGTTAATCAAAAGTCAATTTGAATAAATGATAAAATCTATGTAGGAACATTACCCAAACGTCGGCAGTCAGAGCCACGTTTTGCTTTTTGTTCGGCTTCCAGAGTCTTACGAAGACGCTCCTGTTCATAAATCTCACGTAAGTCTATATTATGCCTACGAGTATGAACAAAAGCTATAGTTGAATTCAATTGTCTTGCTTCGCGTGTAATTAGATAAGGATAGAGCAAAAGCTTTGAACGATATGTTGTTGTCGAGCGTAATTGTATGAAATTGGAAGACTTCTTTGCGTCAAGATTATCCGATTGAATAAAGAGTATGCAAAGATTAATAATAATAATACAGAACAACATTATTAAAGAGTTTTATTCATATAACATGGAAATTTATCGGTATATATAGAGAGAGCGAAAATAATGTCGATAGATAATCTATGCAAAATTTTTTATTTATATAGAACGTCTATCGCACTGGAAAACATGCTGAAATAACAATATCGATAATAAGGAAATCAAAGAAATTGATATGGTGAGTGGGTGACGCTTTTGTTTATTTATACGAGCATTACTCATGGAAGAAACAGGAATTATATATTGACATTTTCTGACTCAATATTGACTGCTGCTTTATATACATATTTGCCATGATAAGTGAAAAAAAGAGGATCATTATATTCTTCTCAGAGGCAAATGTGAAGGAACAGAAGAAAACACGAGATTTGCCATATAAGGAAATATGTTCAATTGACTGCCTGTGATATAGAAGACAATCTGTTTTGATTTCATCGTACATCAGTCCAAACTTTGGAAAAAGAATAAGAATTGAGCGATATAATCATCATTTCATGTCTTGTTATTTGCTAAAATATATGCGTGTAGTACAATCACAGGGTAAATTATGAAAGCAATCACCATGAATATTCCACAATAGAGATAGATCCTCTTCAGAATTTATCAAATATAATAGATATTTTATTTACAAAGTTAAACATTGAACTTTATACAACGAGTTTCATTAGCATTTCAAAGATAAAATGACATAATGAACACGGTGGCATCCACCGGTATAGAACTTTTCTATAGCTGTTCTTATTCGTTGAATTCGTCCGTTATCATTTTGAGATGAAGTATTAGCACGAGCTTCTGTGAAAGATCGTAAATTCAGCAATGATGACTCTATCCATATATCGTTTTCAGTCATCCGATAAGTAACAACGATAAATTACCTTCCGGTCACACAGATTGCATAAAAAAGCTCATCCCCACTCTCAGGATGAATCAATATCGAGAAAAGTTTATTTTCATTCGTTTTTATCATAACGGTCAGTAATTGTGCAAGTAGATGTGATAGGAAGAATATATTATTCAATTTCTTTTCAATCGATTTTATTGATCGACTAATATTCGAGTATTACAAACAAAACTGTTCTCCAATTGATCGATGTTCATCTTGAATTGTTATAATACTATACAATCCATGTCGTATCAAAAATATGTTCGATAGGGGAATGAATTGATTCATTGAATTGAACCGGGATTGTGTTTTTTTTATTGATATCCACAGAAGAAGAAAAATACTAAATATAATCTATATTTATATATAAATAATTATAATAATGTCTAAAACAATGATCATTGACTAGAGATAAACTATTTTTTGGGTGCGGCAGTTTGGTCCATTTTCTTTGCAGCTTTCTCTGTGTCTTTGCTGGTTGGTTGTTTCGTTTCTTGATGATCAGGATGCATCGAACCTGTTTCTTGTAAACGCACGTGCCATGAAAGTGCTTGTTTCAAATCATGAGGTGTATGTTGTGCAAACGAATTACGTTGGGCGTCCCGAACATAATCTTTCAACAAGTCTTTGTACGTCGGATGAACACATTTATCGATAATGATGCCAGCTCGTTCTTTGGGACTTTTAGCACGTAGATCGGCTAAACCTTGTTCACTAACCATGATTTGTACTGAATGCTCATTGTGATCGACGTGTGAAACCATTGGTACAAATGCCGAAATCTTTCCACCTTTTGCAACTGATGGTGCCATAAAGATGGAGATGTACTATATGAAAGGAAATATATTGACATCGATGGTATATATATGAGCTTACCGCATTTCGTGTAAAATCTCCACTGCCACCAATTCCATTCATCATCGATGAACCTAAAACATGTGTGGAATTGACATTTCCATAGATATCAGCTTCCAGTGCTGTGTTCATTGTAATCAAGCCCATTCGACGAATAACTTCGGGATTGTTTGAAATTTCCATTGGTCGTAGAATAAATTTTGATTTGAGTTCATTTAGTTCCTTGAAGAATCGTGTCTGGCCTTCGGGAGAAAAGGTCAATGCAGTTGTTGATGCAAAACGAAGTTTTCCACTATCTAATAGATCAAAGATCGAATCTTGAATAACTTCGGTGTACATTTCAATTGATTTGAAGCGATTATCTTTCGCTATACAAGCTAACACGGCATTAGCGACATTTCCAACACCGGATTGAAATGGAAGTAAACCCTTCGGAATCCCTTGAAAAAGAGAAACGAAGTGTGGGTGATTTGAGTGAAAGAAAAAACTCACTTCCATGTTCAACTTCATGAAGAATAAAGTCGAGAATATGATTAGCAATTTTAAAACTTGCTTCGTCAGGTTCTTTGAATCCCTTGGATGAGTCAAACTTATTCGTTAGAACGATTCCTTTGATCCGTTCAGGATTCACACGAACATACGGTGTACCTAAGAAGATGATCAATAAAGTGAAGAAATTAACCGTCTGAATTACTTACCAATTCGATCATCAACATAATCAATATTAATTGGTCTTCCAGTATGTAGTTCAGGCAGATAAATATCATGAAGTCCTTTCATATCTAATGGATGTGCTTCATTCAATTCAATGTAGATATCCTTTGCTAAACTGAGATACGTTCCACTCATTCCACTTGAATTTGTTAGATAAATTCTTCCATCGGATGTCACATCGCAAGCTTCGACAATGGCTACATCAATTGAAGGAAAGATTCCTTCTCTGATGTATCTTCCCACATGACTCAAATGCATATCGATAAAATTCAATTTTCCCTTATTGATTAATTTTCTCAGATCAGGATGTGATTGATAAGGAATTCGTAGTTTCATTCGACCAGTACGAGCTAAAACACCATCGAGCTCATCGCCAGTCGACGCACCGGTATACAAATTTATCGAGAAATTTTCTGGATTTTTCGAATTCTGAATTCGTTGAGCATATGCACCGGGTATAACCTTTGGATAACCAGCTGGCGTAAAACCGGATGTTCCAATAGTAATTTGTTCAGGCATTCGTTGTGCGACATCGTCTGCAGACATTAATTTACTTTTAATGTATGAGTTGATGCGAGATTCATTGGAAAATGATCGACATGGAATAAGATTGAAGAAATGTTTTCGAACGAACATATTTTTTATATCTGAAATAACAAAAACGAATGATTTGTCAGTCGTTGTTCCATTTTTTCTTTATTTCAAATGAACAACTAGGAACTTTTATGTTTACGCTTCTTCTGTTTTTCTTTCTTCTTTATGATTTTGTCAATCGACGAATCGATTGTCCATCCTTTGTAGCCTTCTAGCTCGAGTAGATTCGAGTCAGGATATGGATTTTCCAAGTCGATATTTGCTTGATTCTTCTCTTCTTGTTTTGTCGATTCTTCTTTCTTTTTTTTCTTTTTTTCCGGTTGTTGTTCATCGGGTGAAGCTTCTTCTATTTGCTGAACAAGATCCATCGCTCTTTTCTTCGATTTTTCTTTGAAATAATCGTTTATCGACTGTTTGCTAGTCACGTACATATTATCCGATTGAGTTTCACCTTCTTTGTCAGAATCCTTTTCTTGTTCTACTTGTTCTTCTAATTTACTTGCATTATTCTGCTGAATTTTATTCCAACCGAAAATGCAATCGAGCTCGTGATTTGATCTTGAACTTAGATCTTTGCCGCTCGATTGTTTTTTATACCTAAACGAACGAAAACAGATCGATTGAAAAGTTCGATCGACAAGACCTACGTAAATCGTGTTTTCGTTTGTCGAACAGTTTGATTGAAATCATGAAGAGAAGACGAGTTCGATGTTGGATGAGACTGTTGCAATTGTTCGAGAACATTATCAAAGGATTGAGAATGCGCAAGCCATGTATCATCGTATTTACCGTTAACAAAGCCGACTCCTTTCAAATTAGCTTTGAATTTCATATCGACATGTTCAGTTCGTCCATCTTCATTTTTTCCTAATCCAGCACCCGATGTCCATCCCATTTTCTCCAGCATTCGTTTACCGAATTTGTTTCCATCTATAGTCAAAAGCAGTACGTCATATTTAAGTACATGTTATGAGGTTAAGGACGAATAACAAACAGAACGCAAGAAAACAAAACACATTGACTTATCAAAAACAAAGCAGAGAGAACGAGAACTGTGGGTTGTTTTGCACAGAACGGAAAATAATTTGATCGAAATTACATCGAAAACAATCGAGTTCAAGGCTAAACTTGGCATTCTCTCTCAATTTGAAAGATTCGCTTACCATCAACCCATTCTGTTTTGTTTTGAACAACATACCGAATTTTGGATCGTTTTTCATTGAGACTTACCATTTTCAGAAGAGACTAATTAACGATCTTAAATAAG